AGAGTGCAGATTGAAATATTCAGTAAGATAGATCATATGCTGGGCTGTAAACAAATCTCAATGAATTTCAAAAGGTTGAAATTATGCACAGTATATCTCTCTATAAAACCCTAATATGTAAATAGTCCAAGCAGCGGAACAATCAAACAACTGAACAATTGGTTGCTATGACGTGCACTGACTACCAGGGAGCACGTGTGGAACATGGTGGGCATCAGCCATGGCAGGATGGTGCATCAGGTGAGTGGGGGTGCCAGACCAATGTAGGGCACAGGTTGCTGTCATCAGGGTGAGGCTTTGGTGGTTCCTGAAAATTCTTTGCTTCCACACACCATGCCCAGCCCGGCACTCACACTTGCTACCAGCATCAGCCCTGCTCGCACCTGCTGCTGGCACTGGAGCCACTGCTTGCACCTGCTGCTGGTGCCCTGTGCCGGCCCTGATCACCTGGCGCTGTCAGCAGGTGCAAGTGGTGGCTGCTGGCCCTGATCATCCCTGAGGGCTTCTCCCCGCCCCCCCACCTTCCCCCCTTCCGTTACTCCTGAGGGGTGATTGGGGCAGCATTTGCCATTTGCACCTGCTGATAGCACCGGCACCCACTGCTGGTGTTGACCCCAATTGGTCCACACTGTCAGTGGGTGTGAGAGGGGTCAGCACAATCAGCACATGGGAGCGGCGGCAGTGGGAGCAGGACTGCAGGCAGACGGGGGACCAGAGGCTGCAGTAGGAGGGGCCAGGCAGAGGCACAGAGGGTGGGCCAAGACCTAACCCTGTGCCACTACAACCTTGTGGCCCACAGTTTCTTTCAAGGTGCATGAATTCATGCACTGGGCCCCTAGTTTTTCCATAATAGAATTAAATTAGAAACCAGAAACAATAAATTATCTAGAAAATCTCCAAATATTTGGAAGTTAAACAGCACTGAGAACATGGTCAGGAAGAAATAACAAGAAGTTAGAAAATGTTCCAAATGGAATGATAATGAAAACAATGCAATGAACTGAGCATGTCCCCTCAGGTTTCATATGTCAAAATCCTAACCCCCAATGTGGTAATATTAGGAGGTGTGGCCTCTGGGAGGTAACTAGGGCATGAGGGTCAGCCCTCATGAATGGGATTAGTGCCTTTCTTAAAAGAGACTTGAAGGCTTGCTGTCTCACTCTTCTCTCTGCCATGTGAAGACACAAGGAAAAGGCAACCACCTGCCGAATCTGTGAATTATACAGACATTTAAAAAAGGAAAACATCGATTTCACCCAAACTTTTTCAGAAAATGTATAAACAGATAACACTTCCTAACTTGTGTGATTAGCTCAGCATACTAATCAGAGAAGATAAGAAATTTATGATTCTATATCTCTCATAAATACAGATCCAAAAATCTGCAACAAAATATTAGTAAATAAAGCCCAGCAATATTTAAGAAGGTAATTCATCATGACAAAGAGTTGATGGAACATTTGAAACCAATTTTTCGAGTTCACCACATTAACACAATAAAGAAGAGAAGTGGTAATCATATTAATAAATGTAGAAAAAGTATATGATAAAATTCATTAAACCCCAATTTATGATAAAAAAAAAAAACTCTCAAAAAATTAGAAATAGAAGATAACTTGTCATACTTCTTGGCCTTTTGGCCAAGTTCATATCTTCAAGTGTAGAAGATAATGTTTCAGTCTGGTAAAATACATTTATGGAGAGGCCACAGCTGAAATTATACTTAATGATGACATTTGTATATCACTGAACAAAAGAAGGATGCCTAGCATATTATTGAATGGCCATCCTTGCCAGTGCAATATAGCAATGGACACATAAAGTGCGTGTGTCCCTTTCCCAACATAGCAAGGGGAAAGAACAAGAAATAAAGGACAAGATGGAATGGACCCACACACCGGGTCCAGCGCATGGCCACTGTGGTCACCACTGTCCCTGAGGCTGCCAATGAGGGAAGTGCATGTGACAGGATTCCTTTTATTTGAAGTTCTTCAGTATCCATTAAAAGTGATTTACTTTGCTTTCTGCCCTCTCACCACACCCCCCTCTGTACATGGCCCGACCCCCACATGCGGGCATTTGAGACCTTGTGTGGTTGGAGGATTGAGACAGGCTCTCTGGTCAGAGTGTAGGAGTGTCTTCAGGAAAAGAACTCGTATTGGGGCGTCTTGTTCATTTGGAAAATTGTATGATATTTATTGATTGTATCTATTGCCAATGTTTATATCCAATTCTAAGATTTCTGAAAACAATTCTTGTTCCTTGCTGCTCAGAAAAAGTTTGCTGAAGACACCAGTTCACTAAAAGCACTGAAATGTGCAGCATCTGTGCTGCGTGACATCGCAGAGCCGAGCTTCTGACTGTGGGTTGCTGGGCCAGCTAGGAGCCAGCATTGGCCTGGTTGAAGGTGGGCAAGGGGAGCATATTCAGCATTGCTCACTGAGTTTGGGTAGCACTCTGATGATTTGTTCACTTCAATAAAGACAGATTTGGGTAAAAAAAATAAAAAAAGAAGTAGAAAGAGATAAAAGGCATACAGATAGGATGAAAGAAAGATAGGATGAAAGAAGTGAAATTGTATTTATTTGCAAATGACAAGATGTTTTTACATAGAAAAACTAATGAATCTACCAAAATATTCTACTAGAATTAATATGTGAAGGAGCAAAGCTGCAAAATACAAGGCCAATATATATACTAAAAATTGGAAAGTAAAAATTAAAATATGTCATATATAATGCCAAAAATAGTTAAGAATAAGTTTACTTTAAAAATACAAGCCCTCTATACTGAAATCTATAAAATATTGCCAAGAGAAATTAAACAAGACCAAAATAAATGAAGAGTTGTATTTGTGTTCTTGGATTGAAAGACTTAATATTCCTAAGATATCAATCTTTCCCAAATTGCTCTATAGGAGTCAGTGCAGTTCCAACCAACTGCTTCTAAAATGTATATAAAAATGCTGAAGTTCTAGAAAAGCCAAAATAATCATGTCAATGAATACCTAAGTTGGAGAACTGACATTACTTTATTTCAAAGTTAATATAAACCCTATGGTGATCAAGTGAGTGTTAAACTGGTATAATGGAACAAATCAGAGAAGACACACATATACAGTCATTGATTTTTACAAAGGTGGTAACACAATTGAAACAAAGAAAGGATTGTTCCAAAGGATCTCCCTATGTAATCCCTTGGGGAAAATAAAGCCTGATGCTCGAGCCATCTACTTGTATGAAGCAAATGAACTCACATCCCATAATTACACTACATATAAAATTAATTTGACATGAATTATAGCCTAAAAGTAAAAGCCTTAACTATAAAACTTCTGGAAGAAAGCAAAAGAGAATATCTTTGTAACCTTGGGGTAGACAAAGAATAGGAAGGGCACAAAAAATTCTAATCATGAAAGAAAAAACTAAAAAAAAAAAAGGTCTTTATCAAAATTAAAAACTGCTTTTCAAATGAGAACATTAAGAAACTGAAAAGGCAAATCACGGATTTGGAGAAGACATTCACAATATGTACATCTGACAAAGGATTCATTTCCAGAATATATAAACTTCTATAATTCAATAAGGAAAAGCAAATAGCTCAAGAAAAAAAAAGACAATTCACAAAAGAAGGTATATATGAATAGCCCATAAACACATGAAAAATTATCTATATTAATAGCCATCATGGAAATGCAATTAATACCTCAATGAGATATTAGTTTATATCCACTATAACAGCAATTTTCAACTGGTGTGCTGCTACAAGAATTTTTAAAATATTCAATAACTGAACTCTGTTCCCTTAGATTGTCAAACAAAAAAATTTCAAGAGCCAACACAACAATATCTGTCCAGTGTTAATGAATCAAAGTTATACCTATTTTTTTTGTAAGATCAACAAAAAATGTACTTTTGGTGTTCCACAGAATTTTAGTAATCATGTGTTCCATGAGATGAAAAAGGTTGAAAATCACTGCAGTATAATAACTAACATTAAAAAAAAACAAACCCGATAAGTCTAATTGGTGTGCATGTAAAGCAACTTGAATTCTCATATATTGCTGGTGGGATCATGAAATGGCACAACTATTTTAAAAAAATGTTAGGCAATTTTAAATATAATGAAATACCTACCCTAATACCCAAAACCCCACTTCTATTTATTTATTCAAAGGAAATAGAAACATGCATCCTCAAAAATGCTTTATTCATAACAATCCAAATACCTATCAACAAGTGAATGGATATGGTCATACAATGGAATACCAGTCAACAAGAACAGGAACAAGAATAAGAATGAGAACCGCGGTAACAAGAAAAAAGGAACAGACCTTGGATACATGCAAGAAAATGAATGAATCTCGAAATCTTTATGCAGAAGAAACAGATACAAAAGTGTACATATTGTATGATTCAATTTATGAAGTTCTAAATCCGACAGAAGGAAGCTTTGGTGATAGAAATTAGATCATTGATTGTCTGGAGTGGGAGTGAGGATTAATTGCAAACAGGCATGAAAGACTTTCTGGGGTGATGGAAAAGTTCTGTATCTTACTTATGGTGTGCATTTCTAAAAAGTCTTACACTTAGTTATACTTTTAAAACCTGTGCTTTTTATTGTATGCAAGTTATACTAAAAACTATACTAAAATTATACCAAAAGATTCCAGGACTATTGGTGATGACTTAGAGTGTTTGCTGGTACCTTGAATAGACGAAGACCCCTGCCTCATCGCCATGCACAGGTTAATCATGTTCTCCTTGGGCTGGAGGCAGCTGTAATAAGTAATCTAGTTTCTTTCTTACCACAAAACACTTAAATAATGGTAGGAAAAGGAATATTGGTCTAGCTGCCCCACAGTACTCTTCTGTGGCTTGCCTAATGACATCATGAAGATCCTTGAAGAATTTGGCTGGACAGTCCTGGGGCCCATGACCCTGGCGTACTCCCAAGTAACTTGAATGCATTGACACTGACTTTTCTTTCCTTCCATACAGGAAATGCTGAAGGATGAGGTGCGGACGCTCACTTACCGGAACTCCATGTACCACAACAAGCACGTGTTCAAGGACAAAGTGGTGCTGGACGTCGGGAGCGGTACCGGGATCCTCTCCATGTTTGCTGCCAAAGCAGGGGCCAAGAAGGTGTTTGGGGTGAGCCACCCATCTCCCCCCCCCCGCTTCCTCCCCAGTCCCTCTCGGTGGCTTCAGCAGAGCTGGCCCTGCCCCTTGCCTTCTCCGGCCCTTCCTAGTAGTACAAACCCTGATCCACCCCTCTGCTGAGGTCACACACTCAAAGAAAAAATCAAGTGTGCCCCTCAGGAGGCAGGACAGTCTCCATGGCTCCCTGTCACCCAGGCATCACTCCTGGCCTCTTGCCCTGGTGACTGCTGACATTTGCAAAAGATTTTTGACTTTTCAGAAACCATTCCAGTGTCATCAGGGCCTCATAATGCTTGAGAGGCAGTGCAGCATGATTACACCTGTGAGTTCTGGCCTGAATCTCTGCTCTTCCACTCATGAGATGTGTGATCGTGGGCAATTCATGGCTCTGTACCTCAGTTTCCCCAATGTATAAAATGGACATGAAAATAGTGTCTTGCCCATGAGGTCATTATGAGGCATGAAAAGTTTAATAGATATATAAAGAGCCTAGAACAGAACCAGCATAGGACAGATGCTCAGTGTTTATTAGGATAGTCGGGATAGGGCGCTAGGAGATAACAACAAGAAGACCCAAGAGCACTGGGGCAGTTTGTGGTGGGGCCTGAGTGTGAAGGTGAGGTGCCCTGGATTTAGCACAGTCTGGTCTCTGTGGAGGGCCAGCTAAAAAAGTGAGAATAGCTCTTGGGCAACTTCCCCTCTGTTTCCAGCACCATTGACCCTCTCCTGTGCTCCCACAATGGTCTTCTCTCAGCTGATGGTCAACTACCAACTACTCCCTCAAATACCTTAGGGGGTGGTAGGAAGATAATGTTGAGGGAGGCTCACAGCACCTCTGGTCGGTCCTACATCCTCTCCCAGAAGGACAGTGGCTGTGCCAACTCATCCAACGCTTCCCTGGTCCGGAAAATGAGGTCTGCCAGCTCCTCCAAAATCTCCCAAATTAGACACGGGCCTCCATGGTGAAGTCCAGCCTGGCAGCAAAGGCACCCCACAAAGTGGGAGGGCTGCACTGTAGTTTTTAATCTGCCACAGATTAGCAGTGACAGCTGTGGGCACATTATTGCACCCCTGTAGGTCTCAGCTTCTCTGTCCCTTAACTTGGTGCTGTCGTATTTTTGATGTGTTGCTCCTTTGTTCTGTGCCTTTCTAGATTGAATGCTCCAGTATTTCTGACTACTCAGAGAAGATCATTAAGGCCAACCACTTGGACAACAGTAAGACATACCTCCATGTGTTTTCCCATGGATGGAGGGGGCTTTTACTTCCTTGTTTGAGTGGAAGAGAATGACATGAATATTAATCCCTGAGCTCCCATGTCAACATTTACAAGTGAATCAGAGAAGTGAGTTGTTTTTTTTAAGGACAGGAGATACGAAAACATGTGTATGATTCAATGGTCCAGTAGAGGGGAAGAACAAAATTGCAGACACAGGAAAAGGTAAATTTAGGAGCAAAGACCTTGAGAAGGTAAGAGGGCCTGTGGTGCAAAGCACAGATGGAGGGTTGACCTTTCTCTTGGAGTAGAGACAGTTTAACCACAGTAACAGAGGGAAAAGGGTGAGGGATGCGGGTTCAAATGGAACTGGGGCAATGATGGGAAACCTTTGCTTTGTTGCTTCTATTTTGTCAATGAAGAATGAGAAAGTCATTGGTGGGAGAGTGTAAGTGTTTTTTGGAGATGAGAAGAAATAGAATGGTCTTTTAGAGAAGGCAGGGAGGGAAAGCTAACACCATGGGTAGTGGGGATGGCTGGGGGCCAGCAGCCTTGTTAGAGGTGTATAGACATAACTATGCATTGAGCTCAGTGCTCCTACTATGCTCAGCAGCCTTGGTGCAGTGGAGGGGACAGCTGCCTGGGTGGGGGCCCTGCTGGGAGGACACACAGAGGGAGGGAGGAAAGGAACCAGAGTTAGAATAATGAGCCTTGAAATCTGAGCTGGGTGAACAAGGAGGTGAGGGAGTGAAGAAGCACAGGTAGGTGACTGCTAGTGAAAAAGGTTAGGGGTGGTGGGTGAGCAACACCTGTGGGGCCATGAGCAGAGCCAGCATCCAGAGGCCTCTTTCCAGCCTGGGTAGAAGAAGTGTTGCTCAGATAAACTGACTTAGGGCTTGCCATTCAGTACCCGAGATCTAGGGTTTGTCATTCAACCTGTCTTGGTTCACTTAGGGCCGGATCTTTTCTGTACACCCTTCAGGGAAGTACTTGAGCTGGGTAGAAGTGACACAAGGTGACCTCCCCACTGGCCTACTAAAGATGGCAAAAGAAAGCGGTGGGTTTTCCCTGCAAGGGAAAACACCTGTGTGTTTTCATCTGGCCTCCTTTTCCCCAGGTCTATAAAGTAGGACAGTTGGTTTCCCATTTAACAGATGTGGAGATTGAGGACAGGAGATGTGGGGCAGAGCCTTTGTCTTCACCTCTCCAGTACTCTTTCCTAAAGTTGATGTGGAAGCTCATCAATTCTGAGTGCCTGCCAATTCTGGACATGAAAATGAAAATAGATGTAAAGGCGGATTTCCTGTCAGAGTTATTGAGTCTCAACTCTGGGCTTTGAGGGGCCTTCAAGGAACATTTAAGAATCCCCCACTCTGCCCAGGCTTTATTTGCACATGGATTCCTGCCCATTGAAGGTCTGTCCAGCCTCTTACTCTTCACCTGTCTCTATTGCCTCCGGCTCTTGGAGTCTGGAACTGTAGCCTCCAGGCTCACCTCCCTGTTCTGGCTAGCAGAGGGCCACTGTGCTGCAATGTTGGTAGCAGAGTGTGGGGTGAGAGGAACTCACAGAAGCGGAGAGATCCCTGAACTTCAGGAGTAGAGAGGTCTGATGCTGAAACTTGCCAGGAAAAGAACTGCTCAGCCCCTGACCACCCCTTCTGATTCACACTTCATGGTCCCCACCTTCCTTCCCTGCCTCAGACTCCTATAACTTCTTAAAATTCCCCTCCCCTTCCTTTTCCTCTTCTTTCTTGTAGCCTGTAAAACATTCCAATAGACAAATACAACTGTGGGTTTTTAGCTATTTGCGAGTAAGTTGTGACATGGTGCCCAATCATCCTTGAACACATGAATGGATATAGCTACAAACACGGGCATTTGTTTATATAAACACAGGGAAGCCATTGAAATCAAGAGAGTAACGTGAATATCTTGTCGTTATCTAGTGCTCAGATCCTCATCACATCCTGCCAGTTGTTTTCATCACACCCACAGCAAAGGGATTCAGTTGCGGGCAAGCGAGTCATTTGTCAACGAGTTTCTCTTTCCTCCAGGCTGCGACAGACTCTCCTCCATTTGGTAGCCTTCGACCACAGGCCGTGTTCTGTGAGTGCCCCTCGGTTTGGGCTGTGTGAGTGTGGCTCTTCCTCGGTGATGCACCTGCGGGAACAGCAGTCCCACACTGGTTCTCCCTGTGCACTGGCATGCAGTTTGGGTTTCCTGGTTCCTGACAGCATTGACTTTGACCATGTAGTTCAGGCAATGTCTGCTAGACTTCCTCATGGTCAAGTTACTCTTTCCCCTTTGTAGTCAGTAAGATTTTCTGGGACAGGTACTTCAAAACCATGTAAATACTACTATTTCATTCCTCGTCATTCATTTCCAATTTTATTCAATAGACTGTATTTATTATTATCAGTACTTACTTTGATTCTCAAATTTTCCCTGATTTGGCCACTGGAGCATCTTCAAGCTGGTTTCTAAGTTCCTTTGACATGATTTCTTCACTTCCTGTGAGTGTTCTCATGTTCTGGCATGGATGTTTCAGGCTCACTTTATACTTTCCATGCCTCTGTTCGAGGACCAGCCTTCTCTCCAAGCCTTGATTCCATTTAGTGGACAGTGGCATTTAGAAATGAGGACTCGGGGCTAAGTGTGCTTCCTGACTGCAGGGTGCGGATGCTCCCGGACTATCTCAGAAGAAAGAATGTGTGTGTGTGTGTGTGTGTGTGTGTGTGTACACATACATACTTATCGAACATGCATTTCTACATCTATCTGCACATATTGTCAGTATGAGTCCATTTATCATACTTCTCCACTTCTAATCCAGCATCACGGTGTCCAGCTTTCACATTCCCATGCTTGTGCCTCATTTATCAGAGCATGAAACTCTGCCTCCTGTTATTCTGCATGTGTTTATGTACTGGATCAATCCCTTGTGTGTAAACAACCTCCCATTGTTAGCACCTCCTGCCCCTGCAGATGCTTCTGTCACCCGGTGCTGGGCTCCGACACCCTATGCCAGGCAGCTGCCCACAGGGCACCCTCCCTTCCCTGCTCAGGCTCCAGTTGGGCCCCTGCAGCCCCCTCCCCTTTCCCATACCAGGGTGTCCTGCTCTCCCACTCTGGCTCTGATGTACTGTGCTGGCTGCTCTCACTACTCAAGCTTCGTCACCTCAAGCTGGAGTAAGCATCTACCCCCCACCCCTCCTGGGGCAGCATAGAGGTCTGGTTCACTCAGCCCCATGTGATGGCTTTAGGATGAACTTGTTCCATGCTTCCTATGTTGACGGCTCACATTTGATTTTGTCATTGAGTCAAAGGCTAAGAAGGACAAACAATTGTCCTCAAGTAAATAGCCAGCCCTGTGCCCCATGCCCTGTCCTCTTTCCTGCCCCTCACACACACTGTGCCCAGGAGGAGGGGCCTTTAGAAGACAGAGCTGCTTTTATCTCTGCCTCCTCAGGTAGCAACAGTGGGTGGAGGGGAGAGGTGGCCAGGGTCCTGTCAGCTGCACAGCTCATCCAGCCTTGGCATGTGAACTAGAGAGGGGACAGTTTAACTGCACAAATGCTTCCATGGAAATTCTTTTGAAATTCTGTGTCAGCCAGCATTTGTGTGTGTCTCTTGAGTGTAGGTGTAGAGACATAAATACCAACACAGGACATAAAATACCTGCCACCCAGCATCAATCAATCTCACTCCCTCTCCACCTCCACACAGCTCCTCAGGATGGATTCTTTCTGTGTAGCCATGCAGCTCCATGAAGCCATGCAGCAGCCATGCAGCCCTCACACAGTTGCTTCCACATGCGTGGCCCCCACACAAGCCCACAGCCTCCTCTCTGACTTGGGCTCCGACAACTATTATTTCCTCTCTTTCTCTGCCCAGGAAACCAGTGGGCTGCTGCTATGCTTAAAAAGGTAGATTCACTTGTAAATGTTGACATAGGAGCTCAGGGATTAATACAATTTTATTAGTTCTAGAAACAAAAGAAATATACCCCTATTTCTCAAAAATTAAAATTACCTTTTTTTCTCAGAAAACGAAAGGTAAAAAATGTATCCCTTCTTTTTTTTACTGGTGCATGTCCTAAAACTCACCTGTCATGGATGGAAGGGGCCTGAGCTTAGCATGACCAGAGTGGCAATGGACAGAGGGGCCTCTGCTACGTAACTTCAGGGGGGTGTTGGCACATTGCTTCACCTTTCTGAGCTCAGCTTGCTCCACGTAGAGGAGATATGTCCATGAACAGCTTGCAGGGTGCTGGGGGATCAGGCACGTCAAGTGCCTGATATGGGGCTTTCTGGGTAGTAGGTGCCTACCAAAAATGAGCTTTGCTGGCCACATAGCTCCAAGGCTTTTATTGACGCTGCATGAACTCTCTGCTCTGCAGCAGTCCTCTGGGCTCTGCAGTCATACAGTCCAGGATGATTTCTTGAACAGGGTCTTCTGAAAGCCATGGCTGTTAGAAAGCACCGCCTTCCAATGAGAGGCATTCTCCTCCCTGAGGGTTTCCCACTCAGTGCTCCTTTGGAGCCAGATGGAGTGAGGAGGCTCCTTCACATGGTTGCCTTCCTCCCATATCTCTAGGCAAATCCTTTCCTCAGTTCCTTTACCCTTTGTGCTGGTCTGAGTCACCTTTTCTTCTGCCCATGCCTCTGAATCTCTCTCACACTTGGACAGTCAGGCTAAGAAACAAGCACAGCCAGGCAACGGCCCAGATACTGCACTTGGAACAGTGTGGCTCCGGTTCCATTAGCAGTTATGGGAGAGGCTATGCCATATTGGTGCAGAATCAGAATCAACTACATTTGCCTACTGGCAAGTTGTAGCTCTCAACCTCTATCTGCTGTGTGGATGTTTTGAATCTAAATTGAGTCCCACTCTTATTTATATTAAACATCACATTATTAGATCTGGTCCTTCCTTTCAGAGCATCACTCTCCTAAGGTCATTGTTCCCTGCTTGATGTTACTTGTATATTGAATAGGTGCC